GTGTTTGCGGCAACAAGTATGGATCCGTGTTCCCAAGGTCACCTGCGGCCATGTTGGCCTGCTTTGACGAATCACTTGGTCCATTGGCAGTCATCAACATCACGGGATCATTTGAATTATAAATTGCATATTCGGGGCAATTCGCGCGGGTGAAAAGGTCGGTCCCACTGCCAGTGTCAATAATCCATGAACAGTTCGGAGAAAATCTCTTGCTCGCCAGTGCGGGCTTTGCGCCCATGTCTCTCGGGGCACATTGCCAGCATCCGATCTCGCTGTCACATTCGTACTTGCATCTAGTCGGATGGCCTTCCAATTCACGCCTCACAATGAAGGCGAGCATGGTTGCTCCGAGTCTCGCATCATCTATGCTGACTTCATCATGGGAAAACTGATGGTCGATTGGGTAGACCTTTGAATACACGCGCGGTTTGTCCGCGATCTTAAACTGCTCACCATGTGCTGGTATCCGATTCATTTCAACCTTCGAGCTGAAACGCACACTCGGGAGGGCAGGCATATGCTTCCAGTCCGACATGAGGTTCCCCTCAGCGATAGGGGCGTTCATCATGGAAGACAACAAGCATCCCAACACGCAAACAGCAGCAGGAGAAGGCTTTCCGGAAGACTTTCCCTTGTGACCCTTCTTCTTTTCTCCCTTGGAATCACGGGAAGTGGATCGAGAGGTCGACTTAGAACGATCCCTACTCGACTTGCGATGCTTCCGATCCTTTCCTTGCTTCTTTTGCTTGTCTGCGGATGGCTCCCTTGACCCTGGAACGGCCGGCTTCGGATCGATGTGAGCAAATGGGCAGTTTTCACCACGGTCACATCTCCCCTTAGGGTAGAAACGGCACTCTTTCTTTCCCTTTGGGCTGTTCGTTCGGCCTTTACCCTTACCCTTCTTGGGCTTAGCGTCTCTTGATGGGGTCCTACCCCTGGCATCGCCCGATGGCTGTTCATGCTTGTACGTGCAATTGTCCCGCCGACACGACCCATACTTGACAAATGCAATGCAAAACCCCTTAGGCACACGTTGGCTCTCAGCGGCGGGTGCGGCTGGCCTACCCCCGTTCTGCCTAGCAACCCGTTCTCGATTGCGCTCGAGCCTCGCTCGAGACAGGTATTGCCTCACAGATTCAATCAAGTAGGTGTATGAGTGATCGGCGGACTCTTCCGAGGCGCTCAAATAGACATTCAAGTGGTGTTGCATTTGCTTACTTTTCTTCAGCTGGTTGTAGAACAGAGCCTCAAGCATGGAGTCATCCGGTGTCTTGGCATTCATTCCTGCAAGAACACCTTCCCAGCTACGCATGAAGGAAGTGAGGTTATCGTTCACGAGCCTCACATTGAGGAGATCCTCCATTGCATAGGTGGCTCCGTGCTTGATGTTCGTGCTCAGGTGCTCGTGCACCATGAGAAGCACTTGTCTCCCACGAACTGGATTCCTCTTCTGCGCCTCTACCTCCTTGAAGGTGTCGACTTGTCTCGCCAGGTCACCCTGAATGATGTTGGTGAGGGCGGACAGCAACTTGGCGTCTAAGGTGAGGAAGGTACCGGGATCTTTGAGCTCCTCGATTGTGACGGCGGGCTCCCACACTCTGCTGATCCACGTGAAAGCGTCATCGGGGCGGTCGGAAGCCGCACATATGGCCTCGCGCACCTTGATGCGCCAATTCCTGTAACTCTCAGGAAGCGGGAAGGAGGGAACGATAATCCTCTCCGCCTCCTTGACTTTGGGCTTGTCATGGTCTGCGTCCACTGCGCTCGCCTGCTTACCCAAGATCTTGTTGAGCTTCTTGCGGATCGCTCGTGCCTTCTCCGATGATGATGATGAGGATGATGATGTTGAGGAGCTGGATGATGAAGAGCTCGGAGAGTCGGAAGGAGACCCACTCTTTCGTTTCTTGTGGCTCTTCTTCTTCTTCTTGTCCTTTTTGCTCTTCTTCTTTTTGTCCTTCTTCTTCTTCTTCTTGTCCTTCTTGCTCTTCTTTCCATCGTCATTCCCATCGTCATCGTCGTCGTCATGATCATCGTCATCATCGGGATTGTCGGCAGGTGGTTCCCCACCGCCTCCGCCTTGGCCATTTCCTGCGCCTGATGGGTTTCCACCACCATCGTTAAGGTCCTGTGCCGGAGATGTCGGTTCGTAATCCCCGGCATCCCCGTCAAGATCATCGGCGGCACCTGGCCCATCACGGCGGAGTTCGGTGGAAGCTGACCTGATACGTACCTTAGAACCAAGATCCAGGCCAGGGGGAGGAAACGTCTGTACAGGAGAGGCCTTTGGCCTCAGACCGAAAATCGGAACATTAGAAGAACTACTCTGCTCACTGCGAGATGTCAGTTCATGACGTAGTGCCTCAATGTCCCTCGACTGCTTCATGATAATCTCCCTCATTTCAGCAGCGTTCCTGTCCGCTTCCTCCTTCTGCTTGTTGTGGGTGACTTCCCAAATCAATTTGAGCCGTTCATACTTCTGTTCAGCTTCTGAGCGTTGAGCAACCCACTGCTGTCTCGCCTCGTTGAACTCTCTTTCCTTTGCCATTGCCTCTTGTTGGCATACATTGATGTGGTTCACCGCGTCCTGATAGAGTCGGCCTTTTTCTTCAACATGGCCTGCTTGGAGCTGATTGATGATGGCGTCGTGGCGTGCCGAAGCATAGGCAGCCACTTCCTCCGTACTCGGACCTGTGTTGACCACATTCACCGTCTGGCTATGTTGATATATGTTCGGGGCGCTCACATGATGTTGATGAAGGTGAGTCTCATTCTTAGTCATGTGCGCGTGCATCTCCTGCCCAGGTTGATGTCCGGCGAGAGGTTCCCCTCCGCTTCCCATCGAATCCTCCGGAAGAACGACCGATGTGATGGGCACAAGCGCATCACCTTGGTCGGATTCAGGAAAACTGCTTCGGGAGCGCTGTGACGGATTGCATGGCGGTTTCCCTTCCGGATGCCCACCCTTGATCAATTCGTTGGCCACTGCTTCGTTCATCCTTGCTATGGCAGGGTGGCATCCGTCGCCGCTTGACGCCATTGCGGCGCGGGTGAGAGCTGACTGTACAAGGTACCAGCGATACGGCTGATAACCTGTTGAAAGGTGGGATCTACCTAAAAGTCAGCACGGGCAGCAGCTTGTTTTACTTGAGCCAGTATTATGTCGGTATGCCATTACCTATCAACACTATGTAACTTGGCTCTATGTAACTTGGCTCTGTGCAACTTGGCTCTGTGCAACTTGGCTCTGTGCAACTTGGCTCTATGTAACTTGGCTCTGTGCAACTTGGCTCTGTGCAACTTGGCTCTATGTAACTTGACTCTATGTAACTTGGCTCTATGCAACTTGGCTCTGTGCAACTTGGCTCTGTGGAACTTGGCTCTATGTAACTTGGCTCTATGTAACTTGGCTCTATGTAACTTGGCTCTATGTAACTTGGCTCTATGTAACTTGGCTCTATGTAACTTGGCTCTATGTAACTTGGCTCTATGTAACTTGGCTCTATGTAACTTGGCTCTATGTAACTTGGCTCTATGTAACTTGGCTCTATGTAACTTGGCTCTATGTAACTTGGCTCTATGTAACTTGGCTCTATGTAACTTGGCTCTATGTAACTTGGCTCTGTGCAACTTGGCTCTGTGCAACTTGGCTCTGTGCAACTTGGCTTGCTCTATGTAACTTGCTCTATGTAACTTGGCTCCATGCAACTTGGCTCTGTGCAACTTGGCTCTGTGCAACTTGGCTCTGTGCAACTTGGCTCTGTGCAACTTGGCTCTGTGCAACTTGGCTCTGTGCAACTTGGCTCTGTGCAACTTGGCTCTGTGCAACTTGGCTCTGTGCAACTTGGCTCTATGCAACTTGGCTCTGTGTAACTTGTCCAAGGGCTCCGCACGGAAGAACCCTTCGCGATGCTTTCGGGAAAACAAACAAATACACGTGCATATATATATATATGCATAATAAATACTACATCGGACCTGTTCCCTGGGCAACATGAAGCGAAGTGCAAAAGGCGCGGCCCGCAAAACCCAGGCAGAACTGCCTCAGCTCCAAGCCGCGTTCGTCGGCGCATTGCACTTCTACTACGCAATTGTTCAGGGTGGCTCTGTTCGGGGCCCAAACATGACTTCGCGGATCCACCATGGTATTGTGTTTCAGAAACCTGGAGGGAGCGAGCCAATGTCTGGGAAGCCAGAAATTCCTGAACAGCCTTTAAAGAAAACAGGCACAAGGGGCGACACCAGCAGGAAGCTTGCAACAGGTAGCCACAAGCAGGGGCAGCAGCCAGTGTGGAAAAACACGGCCGCGTTGTTGTGTTGCGAACATGCCGGCTCGCAGAACGCCGCCCAGTGAAAAGGTCCTGCAAGCGTACTTGGATGGCGTGCCTTGCCTTTCTGCAAAGAAAGTTGAAGGCCCCGCAGTGCTTTCATGGCCAAGTGCAAGCATATGGACCAGCACATTGGCTTCCACAAAGTCAAAGGTATTAAAATACGTATATATATATATATACATGTATATATAATATACAGATTTCTATATATATATACTAGATATGTGTGTGTGATGTACCCAAGTCTCTCAAGATGTACTGCAAGTTTGGTGCGCGTTTGCTTCCAAATAGGGGTTTAATAAGCCATCCAAAAGGGTACCCTCAAAGAAAGACACCTCCGAATGAGCCTGCAAAACTGTGCATATAGGTGAAAGTAGATGGCACTATTTCTCCATGTTGGTTCCTCGGTTGCATTTAAAGGGAAACCCAAATGGTTGTCGTTTTTCAGGCTACTCCTGTTTGGAGTGGCCTATGGAAACCGAAAGGACACACCCGGAAAAAAAGACGCACTCGGCATCCGTGGTGGGCTCCTCTTCACAAAAGGCAAATGGAACCACAAATGCAAACTCTCCAGTCAAAGTCCCCCCTCCCTCAATTCCATTTTTATTTGGGTTGGGGCTCACCCAAAATGAAACCAGCCAAGGCCAAGCGAGGAACCGAAGCGTCGAGCGCCTCACAGGCGCTAATCGCGGCGCTAAAGGAGATCACGTCTGCGGCATCCTTCACCAACAGCTCCTCCAGCCTGGTTCGCGGGAGAAAAAAAGCGTTAAGGTGGTTTTCAAAAAAAAACACGCAGTGGCTGCAGATGCGCCAGGGTGAAAGTGGATGGCACTATGTCTGTGGGGAAAAGGGTCTGACAATCCCAAACTGTGCTACGCCATCTATGTTCTACTTTTACTTGGTGTAAGATGGTGTTCATTACCCGCTATACACCGTCGTTTATCGTGACAATATTGTGGACGCATCTCCCATAAAACCCCATGGGGTAGCTCCGGTTTGGGGGTGGACACCGTCTTGGAAACTGGCCCCGTCGTGGAGCTCCGCCCTTCCTATGTAGTTGGCATTGAATTTCCCCACTGGTTGAACAGCCTGTTTGGGGCAGGATCTGTATTGAAGATGTCCACCTTGTATTTCACTGAGCAATCCCGCAAGAGTGCTTCATTTGGACTTCTGCAATCAAGATAGGGTACCACAATCAGTAGCTGAGGCTATCATCTTGCAGCTGGCAAGATGGACACCCTGAAAGGGGAACTACGGAAATCCAAGCTACTTTTCCTTGCTTGACGTTGGAAGGGGAGCAAAAAAATAAATGCTAGCAGTTAAGTGGTTGGATTTCAACCACTAAAACAAAGTCAGCAAATATGTAAAACAAATCCCAACAACAACCATGAACGGTCTCATGCCGATGTTTGTAAGGTCGCTTGGGGCATGACCCCTATAAACCATCCAACTGGTGGTTTCCTTTAAGGAAATCCAAGCTACTTTTTATCCTTGGCCCTTGAGGTGTGATCATCTTTCAAAGGCCAAGTTTGGAGGGAAGGAAACTCTCCCCAGCGGGCTGTGCCCATCCGGCAAGCCACACTTTGAAAGTCCAAATGATGCCAAAACAAAATGTAATGTAGGCAAACTGGGAAAAGAGCAAGCAGAATCCAGCGCCGATGTGGCAAGCACATGCCAAGCAGCGCAACCCTGAATTGCTTGTTCTTGCCAACCTCCGGTGGCCGCAGAACCAGGGCACTCTGTGTGGGGTAGTTGCTGTAGGGTTTCTGAATTCCATGGGCTTGTTTAGACTCAGGAAATCTTGAGGAAGCCTGTGGCCCCTTGTCGCCTCCGCTTGGAAAGGATGCCGGAGACTATTCACAGCGAGAGGCAGCAGCAAGGCAAGCTGCCAGCGAGCGCGATTTGCACCTTGCGGTGAGCCATGCCGGTAAGACGAGTAACCGCAAGCGAAGTGGACTGGCCAGCAAATCGCAGCTAAACACCAGTCATATTGAGGTGTTTTTTTCTGAGTTCCACATTGCTTTGCAAAAGCGTTTAGTTGAATGTTCTAGGTCTTCCGCACAGATTGAGCATGCTTACCAGCTCAAGACAAATAAAGAGGGACAATGCTGTTAGGCACAACCTCAAGTTCGATGGAACAAGTACTTCACAGTGCATCTCCAGCCCGCGCCACAGATTGATTAGCCCCAATTCAACCCTGCGCGCTGGGCAAAGTGCCGCTGCTTTCCTTGAAGCGCCTCGCGCAAGTGCAAACCAAACTGCCCAAAAGGCCACTCTTCGTTCCCAGCCATGCAAGACACCCGTCCCCTCCAACCTCACACCTTGTTTCTCTGTTGACCCCGCGAACAGTGAATAACTTTTGTGGGTCCCTGGACAGTCCGAGCCGCAACCAAATGAAAGTCCGAGAACCCCTTCCCAAATGCTTAGAAGGGGCGACCGGGTACTTAGTAAGTGGTCTTTAAGCCCGGCTACAACCCACGCGCAGACTTGTAACCATGGCTCTTGTGGTTTATTTCACCTGGCTTCATCGCACCACCCTGACGTAATCGATCGCCCTCTGATTGGACAAACGAAGCGGGGATACGGAGGCGGGGATATGTGGGGATTCCCTTGGCGCCATTTCCCATGTCCAACTTAGGGTGCTCCAAACGGGGGAATCCTCCCGTATCAACCTGGTTCTTCCAAAATCCCTGCTAGTTGGTTTCCTTGATTTAAGTACTTTAACTGAGCTGTCCCCAGATCCCCCGCTAATAGTTTCACTTTTAGTGGGCTAAATAGAAACCCCACAAAACACTAGGCTAAAAGGCTAAGGAACCGGATGGCTGGGATCCCGCCACCTGATTTCAGTCGCTTTAAGCGCCGTTGGCCGCGCGGCAGGCGCTGATGGCGCTGTTGCACACCACGTCGTTGGGCTCCAGGCGCACGGCCCTCAGCTCCTCCAGCAGCCCCAGCGCCCGCTGCCACTCCCCGCCTGGCGGCGGAAAGTGGCGGAAGGCGGCGGAGCTAGCCACGTGCACGACTTCGCTCCGTTCTTGCGTTTTCGTCCAGTGGACACTCGGTTGCTTTCTGCTCCCCTGCTAAAAGTTTAACTTTTAGTGGTTTAATTCGGAAAACCCATTAGTTGTCAAGAAGTTGAAGTCCTAACATCCAAGCAACATGCAACAAAGAAGATGCGAGATATGTCCAGTAGTGATAGACTCCTTTGTTCTTACTCAAAATGGAAGCAGCGCAACTGGCAAGTGGCGGAATTGGAGGACGACATTCAATGTCTAGGGCATCCGCCTTGGCAAATAAACACAGAACCGAGCTGATCGGTGGGAAGAAACTTCAAACACATCCACGCAAGTTGAGAGGAACTTCCTCGCTGGTGGAAAAGAACAAGACTTCAAGGACAAGTTCGCAAACTGTCCAAATACATCCCTAGTATGAAGGCCTGGTTGACGGATGGATTGACCACTGATGCATTCATTGCCGAGCTACTGCAAACCAATGCTCAAAAGGCCCAAGATTGATTCCTATGGGTGCATGCATGTAGGTCCGTACAATCAGCCCTCGACGGCGCTCTGGGAAAGGCACGAAGCCCCCAGGCCTTTCCACATTTCATGTGTGGGATCGATCCGGAGGGCAAATCAACCCGGGGAATGCGCCATCAGCGAGTGCTACTGAGAATCATCTCTGGATATAAAATAGGTTGGACAAAAATCAATACCCATCGTCGTTTCAATCCATTGGCAACGTGCAACTTACAAATTAGCGGCCGGTCAAAAACAAGGATCCAAACCTTCGAATGGAAAACCAGGACGGGCGGGGTTTTGGACGGGGGTGCAAGGGAGCCCTGTAAGTTTCCGCAGACATTGGATGTTGAATGATGTTGATTCACTTGACTTACCTGAAGCATGTAGGCAAGCGTGGGATGGGGATGAAAAAGGGTCTGGTACGGCCCGCGTGTCTCTTCCGTGGTGACATGGCGTGTGTTTCTTTCTTGTTAGCCTTTCGGTGGACATCATGGCGCGAGCTCCACTCGATTTCCCATGAAATGAGCTCCGAAGGAATCGCGCCGAACGGGATCGGATCAACGGGGCGGCATAGGTGGCATGTTGGAAAAAAAGATGGCCCTGGAAAATGAAATTAACCCCATCTAACCCAGGGCCCGCCATTTTTTAAGCAAACCCACCAAAAATTGGACACCTACGCAAAAAACGGGCGGGCCTTTCTCGCAGGCGCTGATCAACGAGCCGAAGGAGATGATGTTGGGCCGCAGGCCGCGTGATCTCAAGTCCTCCAGGGCGCCGCAGGCGCGCTGCCACCTCGCCGGTCGACTTGCCTTCAAAGCAAAGAGAAGCCTGGAGAATGGGCCTCCCTGGCCATGGCACCAGCAAACCAAATGATTCTAAGGGGTGGAGGCCTGCTGTGTGTGCATTCATTTTATTTTTATTGTTTTAGAATAACTTCTGCACGAGTTGTGAAAGGTGTTGCATGGGAAGCGAGGCCCGGCTTTTGTTTGGGACACTTCGTGGGTTGCAGAAGCCCAGGGCCAAATTGAAGCACGTGGTGATGACAACGCTTGCTTGGCCGTGAAGCTTACATGCCACATAGGCGTCTCACTCAGCTGATGCTTACAACCACGCTGAGGTTTGATAAGAAGCACCAACCTCTAAAACTCGAGCTGGAACTATAAAACCCCCAAGCCCTGAAACAAGGCAAACCCAAACCTCTGACAAGCCAAAACCCCTGAATCACTGAAACCCCAAATGATCCTCAAAGGATCAACGCCTGAAACTAGAACAGTGGTTGATGCTTCTTTAAAAATAATAATAATAGTAATAGTAATAACAATAACATGGCCAGCAGTTTCGCTTTTGGCCAGAACCCCTCGCGCTCAAGGCACCTAACATCCAGCTGACACCCTCATGAGGAAGCAGCTCCGCCAAACCTAAGCCATTAAGAACACCTAGGTCCTCCAGCAAAGAGGTTAGAATAAGTGTGCCCTTTTTTCTCTAGCCTACTTTAATAGAAAAACCCACCCCAAAAATAAAAAGGGTAAAAGGGCACTACTGGGGGACCTGGACAAATAAGCGTCTACTGCACGAAGGCGAAAGTGTTTTGCCTTGTGGGGGTGTTGTCTTCAACAACCCGAAGGCGACAGTTTCCGCCCTCAAGTCCAGTTTCCGCCCTCCCCTGAACTTCGGAGCCCTGACTGCCGCAATGTGCATGCCAAGCTGCTCACAGCCCTTCTCATAGGCACTAATCATGGCGCTGCAGGTGATGATGTCTGGCTGCAGGCTTCTCAGTTGGCTGAAAATGTCCAGGGCATGCCTCCGAGACAAGGGGGGTTCTTCAAGAGCATCGGTCAAGTTCCCAGCCACGTCCAATGTTTGTTCGAAAGGGGCGCCTTCACAAACCACCCATTAGCAACCGACAAGTGGCAGGAATGGGTGTGGCAACGGAAAATCAATGGGCACCCCGAAAACATGGGACTTAAACGGCAAGGGGGGGATCACTTAGGTGGAAACTGCGCACATACTCTATTCATACCTGCTCTCAGATGGCAGGGAAAAACGAATGGGAGTCCTTTCTGGTTTATCTGTTCATAAACTTACTAGGCTTGTCTGGAAGCTGTTTCAACAAGACCCTGGCCCGGAACATCCAAATCCGATTTGCTGACACATCGTGGCTCAACTGTGTTTCAAGGTTGACGAAATTCTGATTCTGAGTGACAAGCAGGCGACGGATGAAACAACCTGCATAACCCCGGAGGTCGGATTGTTTAAAAACAGCGGGGACTCGAATGATATTCCGCCAGGTCACCTCGGAAACACACAACTACTTAAAGGGGCAAGGCACTTAGTAAGTGGTGCCAAGCACAACATAATCAGCCTGGTTTCCATGGTTACAAGTCTCCTAAGTGGGTTATAACCAGGCTTACTAACGACAAGCTAAGTACCCTGCCCCTTTCAGTGTAGACCTGCCATGCTTTATTGAACTTATGCCAACAGAGTACTCGGGACAATCAAACTTACTTGCAATGGTTGGTCCGAACCAGAGGTCTCCGACAGGATAAGGATAGGGGGCCCCTACTTGAACCAAACGGACGGTTCAGTGTCAAAATATACTTTCCCTTAATGAGCATTGCTTTTCAGAAGCTGATTAAAACTTCTAAACGCAAACAATTGGCCAACGGAATATAGGATCCACCTTGAGAACCATGATTGAGCAACATACTTCGACTTAAAATTAGCGCTCTCATGCAATTGCCCCCTTCCCCAGTCCCCGCACACGCACAAACCAAATGCCTCGAAGTCACCTCTCTGAGCGAACCTGCTGTCTTCACATGCAAAGGCTCGACAAATACAATGCATTGGGGCCCCAATAGACCAAGGCTCAGATCCTGTCAGACTTGTGGGAATTGCAACAACTACGATTGATAGCATGGCAAAACCGGCCTTACCAGTGATCAACTCTATATTTTAAGAGGAGAGTTCCCGGTAATTAGCACAGAACTGAGGAAACCCAAGCTCACACCCATTGCGCTCCTGAGTATGCATAAGCAGTATGCATGCACCTTGCATTCCCCAGTCTCTTTCAGGGGCACTGCGGACCAGACGCCATCCCATCCAGCAAACAACCCTACCACAACCGGGGAGTTGGGCCAAAAGAACGGGAAAATGGAGCCATTGGGACTGTGTGTTCCCCCTCCGCCAGTCCCATGGGTGTGGAGTGGAGAAACACCTGGCCTGACTCCCACCTGAATTTTCAGGCCTCCAGCGCCCATTGTCCCCACAGGCGCTGATTGCAGCATTGCAGGCCGCCAGGCTGAAGGCGGAAAGAAGGACCAGCTCAAGCGCGCCCTGCCAGCAACCGCCTTGAGTCGGGGCTCAAGCTGTGGATGGACGAAATCCGTTTTGCACCACCCAGGAAGCCCTGGAATGATGATTCCCCTGTAAATACCAGCAAACAATGGTTTCCCGTGGTTTCAAAGTGGTGCGAAATGGGTTTCGTCCATCCACAGTAGGAGTCTGGAGGACTGGCGTCCCTTGGGTTTCCAGCCAAAACCAGAAGGTCTTCAAACATATTATACACTGCATGTAAGAGTTCTTACATGCCCCCTTTGAACTTCACCGTAAAAAGAAAGTCAAGCAGCATTGGCAACCAACAAGGTTAAACCTAACCAGAAAGGACCCATGTCACAAAGAATGAGGATCCCTTAAAAAAAAAAAAACACGGCTGGTCCGTTTCTGCTCCCCTGTGGCTCCCGATGCTACCTCTGACACAATAATTGTGGAAACTGCGCCCAAGGTGACACGAAAGAAGTGGGCAAGGCCTGAAAGAGTTCATGTATAAAAATAAAGCGGCGTGACCACCTGCATGGTGTTTAATGTAGTCGGAAGGGAACACAAATCAGAACCGCTCGGAAGCAGGGGCCCAGTCCCAGCTAAGTGTTTATAGACTTGCTCAAGATGTAACTCTCAGCAACCAGGGGGGCCATCACGTAGAATTTAGATAGCACACCCGCTGCATGCTGTACAAATAATAGGGGAACCTGGAAGCACTGGGATGCGCAACCTTCCCGCGCAGCGGTTGGGTTTGGACGATTTGCTGCAGTGGATCTCTGAGAATGGGAAAACGGGGAAAAGCAAGTACCGCTGTCAAAGGTATGGCCTCACTTCACGAGTGGATGGCCCAAAACAAGTCCAAACTGGTTGCTTTCCAACTTTCCACTCAAACCATTTCTTCCCAACAAGTGACCAACGTCCGAAACGGAACTCCCTTCGGAAGCGAGTGGCCCCTTCTTGGACGGCTGCCGCATGGTGCAACTTGTTTGGCCGTTTCAACGAGGATCCAAAAGGATAACCGTCATGTTGTGGGCCTTTTCAACACAACACAACATTTGGTGGTGGTTTCAAGGGAACACCAGACTCACTTGCTGAGTGGATGGCCCAAAAAAAGTCCAGACTTTATATTTACCACTAGAATGGTCTTCCCAAAAAGTTTAAAGTTCATGAACTCAGGAAGTGAGAGAATGAACACCTCCAAAACAAACACGCCCAAGTTTGGTACGAGCGCCTTGGTTTTGGTCCAAAGGCCCCGCCTGCGCCGCAGGCGTCGATGGCGGCTGTGATGGATACCATGCTGGACTGCAGCTTCCGATCCTGGCAGCTGGATGACAGCCTCCAAGCCGTGACCCACGAGGTCCCAAGATTCTTCTTTTTGTTCAACCCCAAGCAGCAAAACACAAAGGCCAAGATTCATAGTTGTTTTAAGCAGCAAAACAGAAAGGCAACAAATCCTTTCAATTACTGGCTTGTTGGCCTTGCGCGTGTCCGAGGGGAATGATTCGGTGAGAGACGAACCCATGGGCAAAGATCCTGCTGTAGACGATCGATGTTCAAATCAACACCCAAAACGCCCCGCAACCGGGTTTCCGCAACAGCTCCGTTATTAGCCAAAGGCCAAAGGGACCATCACTTTGGTTGCGCACTCGCTAAAAAACGCACTCGCGCTTCCAACATGGAATCCAGCAATGGGGACCCTTGCAACGAGTGTCGAGTATTCAGGTTCCAAGGTAGTAGGGTAACCCCAGAATTGCGTCCACAACCCCCAAAGCCACACTTTGAGAGACTGGCATCCAGCGTTTGTCTGCAAAAGAGCTCAGCTCACGCAAATCAGCATCTCGGTCTCCAGCGGGCATGGAAACAAGGAGAATGACCCTCCCACCAACTAGCATGGAGCCTGACAGGGGGAGCCTTTAAAAGGAAAATGGTCCTCCAGAAACCCCCCGCCGTCAGATTCCTTGGTAATTGGTGAGAGGGCATTCCCTAGAGGAGGATCTTTGCCCATTGAGTTCCTGATTATTCGGCTGCATTGAAAGGGACTTCCACCAAGAAAGGAAACTTTATCATGCAAGTGGAGGTCTGCCGCTGCTTGGTAGCTGCTCATTGCTGCGAACAAAAGGCCCGCTTCTGGAATCCCCCGAACCTATGACTCGGTTGTTAAATAAAAACGGATCCCGTTGGTAGGGTCGCTCTTTTGCAAGTTCATACCTGAAACAGCAATCACAGACTTGTAGATGGGCCGTGCTTTTGTCCAACTGAAAAGGACATCCCTTCACCATCCCTGGCGCCCTTTTTTCCCACTACCCAGGCCTGCGCTTCCGTAAAAAGGCGAAGTGACTGTTGCCATTGCTCAGCTCGCCCGCAAGCACCTTGGCTGCGGCCGCTGGCCGTTGTATCCAGCCGTTTCGCATTGCAGAAATGGGCACATGCCCTGCCTTGGGATGCCAAAACCCATCTTCCAACCCCCCCTAGACCCCTTGACTTCTTCCATTCAGGCCGATTCGGAATCCACAGCGGAATCCCTGGGTCCAATTCTGCGATTGAAGGCGCTCGCCGCGGTGTTGAAGCTGATGATGCTCGCCTCGAGTCCCCCAGTTGCAACCAGCCCGAAAGGTAGAAACTGGACCGGTTGAACCAACATTTTGTAGCAAACAGGCAGAAAGGTGAGCCTTCTTTTGGGTTTGCCCTAAAAGACCAGCTCCATGTTGTTCCCACCTGAGGCTGCCACTGACCTGGAATTTCCTAGGGCCGAGTAAAGTGGTTCAACTGAGCAACGCTTCAAGCCAATGATGCAGAACCAAAACAAACGGATCCATGAAAAAGATCATGGCCTCTGTTTGCCCTTTGTGGTCCTGATAGTCACCTTTGTTGGTCCTGGCACAGCCCTTGCGAGGGCTGTGCATCGGTGTATGCAAAAAAGAACCTCTGGCACCTACCTGCCCCGCAAGGTTTCTGAACAAAGTGCAAACTACCCATCTCTGCTTGCTTTCCCAAAAGCTGACTTCCAGCCAGGCTGCTTCGATTTGCCTCCTGCCGATGTCCTGCAAGACTTGCAGCGCCAGCTCCCATTGCTCGCTTCGCTCACAAGCGCTGATGACCGCGTTGTAGGAGATCACCTGAGCTCCAACCAATTTGGATGTGTTGGCCCAAAAATTGCTCTGAAGGTTCATTTGATTCATATGTGTATAGATTATATATACATGTATATATATATATGCATAAATAAGTAATGTTTGAGGGAATCCGTATTCGAGTTGTTTGAAAGAAAAAGCACTCGAACACCAAATGCTGAGGATGGTTCCTGCTTTGAAAAAACATATAGGCCAACACGAGTCTTGTGATTTTCCTCGTTGAGCCAGGGCGTTGAACCAGTTAAATGGGGTCATGCCGCTTTTTGACCACGACTCACCTCCAATGACATTTACGCAGCATGTCTTGCCTTGCTCCCCTGTTAAATGGGACACCCCCTTATATATTGATCAACCAGGGGTCATTCTTGTTATCCTGGATTTCACACTCGTCATAATGCCCCGCCGTAACACGCCCCACTGCCAGATTGAGAAATTGTAAGCTACAAGTACGGCTGTGCTGTGTTCAATCACTGAAGTTGGCAGGTCAAGTCACAACATGCCAGAAACACAAGGCCTTGCGCTACAAAAGCAGCACCCGAAATCCACACACACACACACACACACCGCTTAAGCATGACGGAACACAACAAGCAGCCCGCCCATACAAACACAGCGATGGCTGGTGGATGCAAGTGCTCCTCTTCTTCCAAGGTTCACTTGCACACATGCAATAAGTCACCTCATCCACAAGCTGGGCAGGGGATCGGCATCAACGCTTGGTCATTGTTCAAATCAAACCTGCCACTTCTAACACGGGTAAGAACGTAAGGGCATGGAGTCATGTCTCCCAGGAACCCTTGCAACATCCTGCAATGCGTGTCTGCATTCTTCAGCCAGGGGTCCATGCCCAGCTCTGCTACGACCAGAATCGATCATGAAATAGAAAGGGATATCCCAATCAACGGATCCGGGATAAGCTGGATCGCAGAACAACTCGGACGAGATTCCCGCAAAACAAGCCTTGCTGAGGGTCAAAGCGACACCGCCTGGCCTACATCATTGCCTTGTTGCATTGGTATTCTCTCGCCACATAACAAGTGGAATTAGTTGGACACTTCACGGTCACTATGCAGCATGGGCGTGGTTAGATGTCACAGGTTGTTTGGGGCTGTTTGAGTCACTGAAAGGGGACGCTGCCTTTTGGTTGGTCAGGTTCCGCCATTTTTGGACGAACATCCCAACTTCGAGGCTGTTCTGGGATGAGAAGGTGCCAAGCGGCATCCGGCTGCAAGGAGGACTGCAGGTGGCGGAAGAGGTCCACAGCCTGTGGCAACATTCAGGGCTGGCTAAAAGGGGGAACCGAGACCAGAATCTCAGGAATCCCTGATCCGTTATTCCAGAAAATGGGGCTTGGTGCAAATGATTGTCACTTTCTGAAGAGGTGGCTTAGCGGCGCCCTTACAAGTTCCATGATAGTTCTCAAGCGGGCAAAGCCCAGCTTGTTCAGCTTATGTTCGTAGAAAGTCGTCCGTGCCTTTGCCATATGTCCCCAACAAAACCTACCAAAGGCCCCAATACCCATCAGTCTGCGCAACCAAACCCTGGGGATTCATCGCTTTTGGAGGGTCCCTGAACCCTGCCTTGCTATATGCTTGCCTGTTTTGCACGGCGGTTATTTGGGGGGTTGGCGGGGAAGGGACGACTCTGCAATTGCTCGGTGTTCCCCATACGCTGTTCATCCCACTGGTATGCCCTTGCTTGCCCAGCACTGCCCAGGGTTTGAGACATATCTACAATTTTAGCACTTTGCCAAACACCGACCTTCAACCTAGCGTCCCAATTTTCGGGGAATCACGAGCCCTTCCGGCTTGGGCATGGACCCTTGGAGGGCTGAGGGTACCCTATGTTTAAGGAAAACCGGTCCCCTAAAAAAGTACATACCCAACAAATCCCCAAAGACTGGCAAAAGGCCAAAGGCATCTTACGGTGGTCCAGCTGAGGGCCACGCCTGTGTCCAAGCCGCGGCTTTTGCGCAGGCGCTGATGGCCGAGTTGAAGCAAATGACATCCTCGGCCCGGCAGAGATCAGGGCGTGGCTCGGGAAGTGGTGAGCGGAACAACAACTAGGTCCTCCAGTAGAGAGGTTAGAATAAGGGTACCCTTTTTTTGTCTGTAGTCTATTTTAGTAGGGGAACCCTTCCCCGAAAAGGGGTAAAAGGGCACTACTGGGGGACCTAGACAATCAAACGAGCGCGCCTTAAACCAAACAGCAACTGCCATGTTGAGTTTGGCTGCAACTGAAAACACCTTCCATGTTTCAACCAACCTTCGCAACCAGACCGTGCACACATACAGAAATTAAAGCAATCCACGACAAGCACATCAACCGCTGGACACCCCAAAGGTGTTGAAGGGCCACAGTAATGCCTACGTGCTTAAAGCTTAAAGATTCCGAGCTAAAAGCAGTAAAGCCCCTTGCCAGTTCACACAGGATGCCCCCTTGAATCCCAAGAATCCTGCAAAGGTAAGACGAGGTTGGCGTCATATGGCGAGTCTCGTGCTTGGTGGCTTAGAGGTTGAAAGGCTGGGGACTGGCTTCCCCCGGGTTGAAATCGCCAAACCTCAGTGAACTAGCGGAAGGCGCTCAACAAGGGAAGGTGCAAGCACCTGACAATCCCCTTGGTTTGACCCTGCAAAGAAAAACAGGAAAAGGTAATGTCCATGCACAAAAAAAACCTTCAAACCCAACAGCCTCAATGTTGAAGGAATCTCCGTATAGGAACCGGTCCACTGTGTCGGCATCCATCCCGCGTCGATTAGTACTCGCAGCAACCACGCCGGCAATCTCCGCCTACTTGGAATTCGTCGAAGCATTCTCCTGCACATGGCCTAGCCATCAACAGTTATGGTGCCTCTCTCAATCACTCTCTCACTCTCTCTTTCTCTCTCTCTCTCTCTCTCTCTCTCTGGTAGTTGCCGGGCCAATGGTCCTAAATCTCCGGTGTAACCATTCCCCACCCAGCCTTCAATCTGAGCAAGCGCCTAATGCACTGGGTGACGTGGATACATATTCAATGCATAAGCGCAGGGAGCGTAAGACCTCTGAAGTACAGCCAGGACTTTTGGGGGGGTTCTCACTACTCAATATATTACATGGGGCTGGGGTGCTGGGGGGGGAGGGGTTTGGGGGGGGGGGTTCTGACTGCTGGGTGCGTGGGGCGCTACTGGGTGTATCAGCCGCTGCCAAGCAGCAAATTCCACGGTGTTTTCATTGATGCCCTCCAATAGCAGCAGTGCAGACTGCCAGGACCCGCCTCCGGCTTCCAGCGAAAGCATGTCTCTGTCATGAGGTCTCTATAGCATGTCTTTGCCCTTTCTCAGCAGATTCTGCCAAGTCTGGCACGGAAACAAACAATTGATGAGGGGCTTGGGGGCACAGAATGGGTGTGACAGTCGCATGCGACGAACATCGCATTTGACCCTACCCGCTTCGACTGCGGAACACTTCACCTGTAACCCTGCCATGTTTGTTTCAAATTCCGCCCTGGGGCCACGCAAAATCCATGTGTCACGTTTAACCCTACCCATGCAGGTTTAGGCTTAGGGTTTTGAGGGTTTATATAGAATTAGGAGGTTTTGGGCTTAGGTTTAGAGTCTTCCAGGTTTTTGTTTGGCCGCAAACCTTGACCTTGCGAAGGGCCAGGTCACTTCCACGTCACAGTTGACCTGACCCCAGCGTACAGTCACAGCTGACAGAAACTGAGGTAGGGTCAAATGCGACTGTCCCGACCCTAAACCCCGGAGCTTCCATTGGCCTCCCATAAAAACCTTGCAACCCGGCAGCTCTGAAAATCCAAGAGCTAACCCCTCATGGGCTCGCAAGGGCCAGTGGATGCTTTTGCAGCAATTTTGCGAAAAGGGCAAGGAAAACAAAGGTAAGCCAATCGCCACCTCCAACTCGGTAAAGGAGCATGGGAAGGGTGCTGTACGCGTTTTTTGGGGCTCGGTCGCACCGTCGCTCCGTCCTTCCCGGGCTCCCTTTCAGACCGGAAAGACCCTGTCAAGTCTGGCCCTGGGCTTTTGTCAGATCTCCCGCTACAAATGACTAACTTGTAGCGGGCTAAATGAAAAACCGAAGAAAGCCAACTAAAAACCCAAAACCTAAGGAACCGGAGGGCAGGACTTGAGACTTGGAGCCTTAAGGGCCGATCGCAATGGCTGGCCTTTCTCACAAGCGCTGATCGCCATGCTGTAGATGATGACATTGGGCTCCAGCGAAGCGGCTGGAAGCGCCCAAAGTACTTCCAGCGCCTAGCGGCGAAGCGGAATGGGGAAAGCGTGCTGCGAGTGGCGGTGGCTCAAGCGGCGGCAGTCGAGTTCCTAGTACCCTCCTACCAAGTCACACGGAACCTGACAGGGGGGTTCTGGAAAATGATATTTCCTTTCAAGGGACACCCTGTCAGGTTGCATGTTAATTGGTGGGAGGTAGGTATGACGCATTCTCAGACCTGTGCCGCATCCATCCCAAGACACACTCTGCACTGCCCACTGCCTCAGCGACGCTGCATGATTCCGATCAAGCGACCAAGCGAGAGTCAGAAGGCCAAGCTCACACATTTGGGAATGGAACCTCAAACCAAAAAGGTTTTTTCCCCAAATCAAAAACAGCAACCCCCCCAAAATCAATGATGCTTAGGTGCTCAAACAAAAACAATAAAACGAAGGAACGAAAGCTGACGAATGCTCCCCGTGCCTGCTGCCACTTGCTGGCTTTGCCAAAGGCGCCGACCGCCGCCTGATGACTTCGGACATCACCGGCCAGCTGCTGCCTGGGGCTTCTGGGAATGTTGATCCCAGACTCATAAACCCCATGTTTGGTGTAAGGTCGACCCCATATGAATCAACCACAGCTTTTTAATAGGGCATGCTTTTGGGGTGAGCAGGGATTCATTGCTTTTGGAGGGGAACACCCCCCATCTTGAACAAACAAAGGCGTACTAATAACCCCCAGACTAATAAACCCCTGTTGATACTGTGGGACGAGTTCGCACCTAAGAATCCCTGGCATGATTCGATTCCCTGTAAATGGCAAGAAACAATGATCCCAACCATGGTTTTCAAGTGGCACAGTTTACTTTTGGAGGGCAACACGCCCCATTTTGCACAAACAGGGGTTTATTAATATGGGGTCAACATTATGCCTCTTCTGAGGTATGGGGGAGGGTGAGTTCTGGGGGTTGGATCCTAAGATTGGATTGTTCAACCCGCATGAAATAGGTACCATTGGGGCAAAACGTAGGTAAACCCATCTGAGAAACTAAGCGGGTTGGACATCATCCATAGATTTCCCCATGAGCTTAGCCCAGGGTGAAAGCAGATGTTGCAGCATTTCCTTCGTGTCCTTGTGCAAACACTGAATGGGGAGGTTTTTGCCATGTCTACTTTCATAGTTCCTCTTGGTTTCCAATTGAAAGATCCTCAAAATGGGCGCCCTCCGTAAACCCGAAAGAAGCCATTGGATTCCAGTTGTGTGGCAATTTCGTGGTTCAATCGTGGGCTCGCAAAAAGGCGTGAGGCATAGGTCCTGCAAAGTGAGGGTTTTGCTTCAAACCGAAGCCAAAAAGGGTGCGGCAAAGAAGGCGTGGGGAGTGGTTGGAGCCTTAGAACTCACTGGCGGTCGCTATGTCATTTGCCCAAACTCCCCCCGCCCCCCAAAAGAGACAAAGAGAAAAAAGCTCCCCCCACCCCCCTCAACCAAAGAACAACAATTAGCAATCTAACACTCCTCCCCTCATGCAACAGAGAAGTTCACCAGCTGCCATCTCGGCCATGACCACAAGAGCAAACGGCATGGTATCTACACACCCTCACGGGGTGGCTACCAAAAACAACATGTGGGCATTGCCCTGGTGATGTTTAAGCCACTAAGCAATATTCGGATATTTCGGGTGAACCTTTTGCAACACTCCAATGCTCGTCCATTCCTTTCCTGGGCCTAAGCCACACCTGAGACTGTCTTACTGGCCCTCACTGGCCGAGGAAAACCCTTCAGGACAACCAAAATGGGCCCATTGGGCCACCGAAAGTTTCAAGGCTTGGGATGCGAAACTCCGACCGAGCGTATGGGTCAAAGGCAACGTCACTAGGTTCAAGTTCCCAGGGCTGCCAGATGCGTCCTCTCTGTTCCAAAGGCGACACTGAACTCTTGCAACTTGGTTGCTGCAACGACCCCCCTGCAAAAGGTTTGACTTTTTGGGGGTTTAGTGGAAAACACCTCTGTTTCCCAAGAAGTTAGTCTCAAGATTCAACCCAATAGCAGTCAAGCCAACACCCAACAACCTCTTGAATCGGACGGTCTGTGGATTGAGGCCCAAGACGCCCAAGATGCCTACATGGCCCCCTCTTGGTTGAGCTGAGTCGCAGCTGCGATTGCCAGCTCTCCTCGAGGTGAGAATCCCCCCCTTTGGTGAAGCCTTGTGGGGGCACCCAAAAGCACTGCGATTTCCTGGGCGTGTTTGACTCTTTAAAAAGCTCCAGCGAGACGGTCAGGACATGCTGTCTTTCTTTTGGGACCCACAAAATGGTGCGTGTCCTTTTGGTTTTCCTTTGATACCACAAAAAAGGTGGGTATGCGTACACCGTTTTCGTGGCTTTAAATGAAAACAACATACCCTCAAACACTCGCTGCTTGGCCACTTGGATTGGTGAGAATGCCTCTGTGGTCCGACGTGATCCACAGGTCACACACTGGAAGCTCAATGCCACATGCGACAAGCCAAGCCCACAACTCAATATTGAGCATAGAGAAACCCTTCTGCGAGGGCTTCGCTTCCTGGGAAGTCATGGCAGAGGAATGATGCTACACTGTAGTCAGAGGGGCGCCGAAGCGACTATCAACCCGACAGACCTGGGGGGAAGACACAGGCTTGTAGGGGAACAAGCCAATCTAGGATGACATAGGATGACCCTTTCCCTTTCCGGTTGAACAACCCAAGAACGAGTAACTTCAACAAGGAATAACAGCACACGAATCGCATTTGGCTTACATTGGGGAAAGCAGCACTTGTCTAATCCACACACTTGACCTACTTCGTGTGAGCGGGAGCTCTGTTTGGCCGAGATGCAAGCAACAGAAAGTAAAACTGCACATGACAACATGCCAGAATGATCAATTTGCAACTTCTACAAAAATCAATTGACACAACGGATTCCCAAGTCAGGAATCTTCACTCCCAGGTGACCGCACCATAGACAAGTCGACGCCAACTCACACGGAGGCCCTGAATTCCGAGCGCCTGCTGGCAAAGTCATGAGGATTTTCCGGAAGTGAATGACCTGTTATGGGACACCTCTCCCATGAACTCTTGTTGGCTCTCAAAGAATCAACGGACGTTTTGGGAATTAACAAAAAGGGGGTTCCCGCAAAAGACATAAGGAAGGTTATAGGGACATTTCCTGATTGCTGAGAACCAGCAAGGGATGTCCGGTTTCCAGAAGAACAAAAGCTGATGCTTGCCTCGTTGGTGCTCCTGTGCACATCATGGCCCGGCCTGTCTGGCAGCGCGTGCAGTCCGCGCGGCCATGCCATGATTGCGCAGGTGCAGTGGCGAATCCACGGACTGCTGCGGAGGCTGCTTGCACACTTCAAGTTGGCTCCAACAAACACACTTTTTGCAAAACAATGTCTCCTGTTGGCAGACTCTTGGGGAGAATGCTTCCCTTCGGAGCTAAGACTCACGCATGCTTTAAGTCAGGGTGAAGCAAAGCAGCCACCCCAGAAAGTTCTTCTGACTGTGGGTGACCATGACGCCACTGAATGATTCTGAAAACTCTTGACCGAGGCGCCAACTTCTTTTGCACGAGTCTCGCTTTTGGGGTCGATATGCCCATGCCCCGCTCAAAGCTGATGCTGCGGAAGGATCGGACCCGGACGAGCACAGTATTTGCAAGAACCCCTCGGCACGCGCGCCGCCCCGCAAAAGACCGGAGAGCCTGTTGGCCGTGCCATCCGCAGACTCCATGCTCAGGGTGTGGGGGAGTCTTTCTTGAGTGTACCCTGCTGCACAGTCTGGGGCGTTTCAGACACAAAGAAAAGAACCACCGCCATTTTGGGGAACAACCGCCATTTTGGGGTCATTTAGGGACAACGGACCTCAACTGGTTGATCACCTTTTGCATTTTTGGGGGGGAGGTGTGGAGGTCGCACGCAGGGCAACTCAGGAAGCAATCTTCATTTGACCGGCAAACGGCGACGCAAGCCATTCATTCATGTTAGGGGGCATGATTGGCCGATCCAAGTAGCCGATAGTCCTCCAAAAAACTCCTTCTATTTTGACAGCTGCAACAAATCACCTTCCCTCTAATTAGCGGTTTGGATTTGTGGTTTGGTGGTTCGGAGGGGCGTCCAATTTGCCCTCTACAACAACCAGGGGTTCAAATCCCCAAACCACCGGAGCATCCACCCAATTTCAATACAGAAAAACGAGTACAGCTTGTCTTTGCGTGGCTGCAATAGAATACATGCAGCCTTAAAACCACGAAAAGCCGGTGTGTTCGTCATCATGGAAGCGAGATATTGGAGCATGGCTTCTGCTCACGGGCTTCCTGGCCCGAAACGGGCTCCATGTGAGAAACTGTTCGCCTTATAGGGGGAAACGCTAAGCAACAAGTTCATGCTCCGCGAGCATGGGTCATGAAATCTGACCAAGAGAAAACGTGTCCCTCAGATTCATGTTCGCTGCGAGAAGGTGAAGGGAGGGCAACAAAAAATGGGTCCCCTCAGATTCATGTTTGCTGTCAGAAGGTGAAGGGAGGGCCCAACGAGAAAAACATAGACATGGAGCCCAGGGCAGAGACGTCCAGGAACCAGAGCACCAAAAGACTAACTTGATGCATTGAATGAACATCTCGGGCAACGTTTGTGCTGTAAAGCATGGTCCATAGCCAATGCCGGCGACAATGCTGATCGTTGGGCCGGTCATGGGCAAACGCATCCAGTCCTCCTCATCCAGAGATTCAAGTGAAAGTCAGCTTAGGATCAAATTCGGAAGGCATATGAAGTCAGATCCCCCTTCTGCAATACCAATGCAGGCTATTATCATAACTGTGTCACTTTCAAGTTGGAATTCTTTTAGATAATGGACACCTACCCACCAATTTTGTGTAAACAAGAAACGCGGCTGTCCCTGACAACGCCACAGGCTTCCTGGATGTCGATCCCTCCGTGGCCCGCTTCCGGGGCCGCGAGCCGACATCACCAGCGCTCGGTTCCGCTCCTAGCGTTCAAGGCTCTGAGGCCATGCCAGGATGGGCAACCCTAAAGGAGTTCTAACAAATGGGGGTCTCAAAATAGCGGTCCCGTAGAATGGTTGGCAACCTCTTGGGTTCCTTCAAATACCAATCAAAAGGTGGGTCCACCGTTTTGACTCAAATGGCTTCTGTGGTACACATGGTTGTCCTTTGTGGCAAGCTACCTGTTGGTTACATCTAGGTTCTCCCCCCCACGCCGCCCTTGGTCACTAGAAACAGCAATATTTGCAGGATTAGCTCTTACATCCATAGCTACACATAAACGAACCTCGAGTAGCCTATCCATATTGACATGGACCAACCCAAGTATGCCAATCCTGGCAGCAATCTCCCTGCCAGCTAAAGTGGCCTTTCAAACATGCGCCAGCATGCTCTTGGAGGCCAAAAGTGGAAGCTGATGCTTTAGGCGACCGTACGGACCGTACGGCTTAAGGGCAACCCTGACCCAACATGACGTAGGGCCCCCGGCTGCCAACCATTGGCCGAGGCCTTCCTGCCGACCTGCCTGCCGCAGTCAGAAGGGCTGTGGGATTCAATGTGAGACCACTGGCGACATTGGCGGTCTCTTTTTTTTCCTGAGGGCACCTATTTTTGCGGTCGAGAAGCACCATCCATCCAGGGGGTGGTCACTTTCCAGAGACAATCCCAAATGGCCTTCCCAAGAACAATTTATTCACTTCAATGGGGGTAGCGGTTCCCTAGCATCGCCATAGCATCGCCATAGCATCGCCTTGCATCTGAAAAAAGAACACACCCTCATTCGCGCGGGTTGAGCCAGGGAACAATGGAACCAGAACCAGCTGCACCAAGCAGTACATGTCAACCAAGGGGTCCCACGAAGAGCTTTGTGCCATCGCCATGTGCCTAGGCACGAGCATTCATACAGGTACGGAAAATCAACAAACCTCCCAGTATCAAGACAACGATCTGAGCCTCTTGTGAAAGTAGTATGCAAGCTTCATAAAAAAATGTCTTAATGGAGGTACCCGTGTCACCTTAGCTTGGCAAAACCCTTGATATCACAGCCGTACCTTCAAGCCAATCAAGCCAACACTTGTCGATGGCAAACCCTTGGCTTGGTCGTCACCTCCAACTTCTCTCCGTCGCAGTCGCATATGTTCGCAACCCCCGGATTACCATTTCGTCAACAAATTTTCGAATGTGCCTAAGGCAACTTGGCAAATGGGGAAGTGTAACGTCCTTATTGATTTCCAAACACTGCAAGCAGCGACTTCTAAAAAAACTCATCCCAAGCCTACGAAGCCACTGAATCAAGCACCAAGGCCCGCTGGACAAGAAACACAGGAAGAAACCATACAGCAACAAATCCATGACCCCGGTCCACCTCAAAGACTCCCAGACTTTTGCTGAGGCTAGTCAAGGGACACTCAGACAGGATGTCCATTCCCCGCTGACCCCCACACAAAAGTTGAGGTTTCGGTTCAAAGGGGTTTGTCTGGTCGGGGCAAGTCCCCGCTTGACCAGACTTGCCCCTGCAAGAGTTAAACCCCCTTGGTGGGTACAAGGAGGAAAGAAGAGAATCAGACACGGACAATTGCAAAGATGTTCGTTAGATTCGGCCTGACGCGGCTGTGGGTCAAAAATTAGGGATACCCAAAAGCTACCCTGGTAACCGAAAAAAACAAAAAAAGCTACCCTGGAAACTGGAAAAACAAACGACGAACAAAATACCCAAAAGCTACCCTGGTAACTGGAAGAAAAAAAAAAAACGACGAACAAAATACCAAAAAGCTACCCTGGTAACTGGGGGAAAAACACGTCGAACCAAGGCGGTCCATATCCCCATTGCGCATCCACGTGCCTGGCCCTCCGGCTCCAAGTTCCACAAGGACACGGTGGCCTCTTTTTCTGCCAGTCCGGCGTGACTCGGATGTGCTGGTAATTCACTTGGCAGTGGCTCAAAATTAAACGAGCGGAGGGGCAAACCGCAGGTTTTGGTACCCATGTTTCCACTTAGGGCAACCCATTTTGGAATTCCGGTTTTTTGAGCCATGCCCACTTGCAAAGGAGGATCTCGGGAAAAGGAATGCGCACCGTCTGGTTCTCTGTAGTGGTAACTTGAGCTCCTATGGGCGAGAGCAAGTGGGCAGACCACTCTGGTCGCCTCTAGCTGCCACTCAACAAACTCCGAATATATCATCTGAGACTGCCCCTTTCCTATCCAAAACCCTGATCTTCGGAAACCCCATGGACTAAACTTGGGTGACGTTGAAAGGGGAGCAAGAAATGATATTTGTTTAGCAGTTAAGTGGGGATTTCCCACTAAACCACAATAAGCAAACATGCAAAATGTTTCCCAACAACAATCAAGAAAATAAAACGCGTCGTGGAAGAACATGGGCATCGACATCCCTCATGGCCCTGCGCGCAAAAACGGCCACACTCACTGGGCAAAAATTTGCCGATGCCCCTGCCCCCGGCAACAGAAAACTAATACACATACACGTTGCACACAATCAAATGTACCTGCAATGAATACAAACAGTATATGTATATATGTAAAAGAATGTGTAAATATGGACATGCATGTATATAAATGTGTATCTATGTGTCTATGTATGTATCTATGTATGTATCTATGTATGTATCTATGTATGTATGTATGTATGTGGGTGCGTATGCATGTGCGTATGCTGGGTATGGTTGGTATGATATGGGATGGTCTGGGATGAGACGGAATGGGATCGCATCGTAGGGTATCGATGGTATATAATGGTATGGTATGTATGCTATGTGTGGTGTGTGGTATGTATGCTACGTGTAGTATGCGTGGTATGTGTGGCATGTATGGCATGCATGATATGTATGGCATGTACGATATGTATGGTATGGCTAAAGTAAGGTATGGTATAGAATGATATGTTATGGTACGCATGGCATGTGTGGCATGTATGGCGTGTCTGGTATGTCTGGTATGTATGGTTTGCATGGTATGTATGCTATGTACGGTATGCATGGTATGGTATGGTATGCACGGTATGTATGATATGGTACTGAATGGTATGGTATACATACATGTGTGTATGTGTGTATGTGTGTATGTATGTATGTATGCATGCATGCATGTATGCATGTATGTATGTATGTATGTATGCATGTATGTATGTATGCGTGTATGGTTGGTATGGTATGGTATGGTATGGTATGGCATGGTATGATACGATATGATATTATATGACATGTATGATATGTGTGGTTTGCATGTATGGTATGCAGGGTATGTATGGTATGTATGGCATGTATGATATGGTATGGAATGGTACCTGCTGTGGTATGGCATTGTATGCATTGTATG